GTGCATCTCTTCTCCCCACTCCCCACCAAAGAACATAAACTCCAGGAGGGCAAAAACTTTTTTATTTTGTTTACTTCCTCTAGAAAAATTTCTGGCACATGTTAGATGCTTAAGATATTTCCTAGATAGATAAATAAATGACTTCAGGGTTTACTCTGTGCCAAATACTGTGCTAATCACTTTATTTATTTCATTTACTCCTCATCACAATTGCAGAATATTTTGCAGGTGAGACACAGAAGGGTTAGCTTGTCCAAGGTCACACACCTAGTAAATGACGAGGCCAAGATTTGAATCCAAACATGTTTAATGCTAAAGCCCTGGTTCTTAGCAATGATATTATGTTGCTTCCATCTGAGAGCTGGAATGGCTGAAATCCTGGAATATACACATTTGGCTTTTCTATTAAAGTTCTCGGCAAGCTGCTTTCTTCTTGCTGATCTTTTCTAATCCTCTGGTCCAATATAGGGTTTAGAAAAGCAGAGGAGATAATCTTGGAGCTAGGGCCAACAACAGCATTAAAAAATCTGCTTGGAAATCTTATAGGGAACCCCACACCACAAAAATACTGTAAAATAGTCTGTTGTTGTTTTCTTCTTTTTTATACAAAGCACAAATGAGGGAGAGGCAGCCAACATTTTAAAATAACAGGACCCTTTTTCTCACAGTTGGTTCAGTTCACCTAGAGAATAAGAAAGCGGTTCTGTCCCAGAGGCACGCCACCCGCAGAATCTGCATGGCAAAGGTACGACGATGAGGCTGCCCCCCGTTCTCCCACAAGGAGCAGAAGCCTGGATGGTGGAGGTCAGTGAACACAGCATGGGGTCTTCTGTTAGAAACAAGTAACGGGCATAACGGGCAACAGAAGAGCTGGCTTCCCGAGATGCTTTACAAGATGAGAGACTATAAAGGAAGCCTGCTGGGAAGAGGGCCTGAAGACAAGGAAAGCCCCGCCCCCAAGCTTATCTCAGTGGAGCCAGTTGGTGGCCCACAATCCCGCTCCTTTCCTATTGGATGGAATTGTGTCCATTGGGGGAAGGACCGCAGAGGAATTTGAATTCCTATTCTAGCCCATGCAGTGATAAGCATATAGACATTTCAGCAATCTGACCCTTAAGGAAAATAGAGCAGGAGCCACATTTGGGAAAAATGAAACCTAAGGTCATAATGCACTTGAACCATTCTGATAGAGCCTTAGAAATAAAAGTGACCCTTTGGCATTACTTCTGTGAAAATAAATCTTGATCTACTCCTTGTCTGACTTTGTACTTAGATGCAGATAATCTTGATTGGATTATGTAAAAGATCTAATTTGAGTGGTTATTAAAAATTCTGAAATACAGAAAAAACTACTCCAAGGCTTAAAAAAGTAATTTTGTACTAAGTTTAAATCAAACTCCCCAACTTCAGAGCTATACGCTGACATGCAGCATTGTCCCACTCGACAGTACTATATTTGCAGCCTGAAACGATGATGCTTTTGGTGGTTATTTTTCATGTGGGAAGTCACACTAACACCCCGGAACCACCTGCACATATCTTAAAACTAACTTTTCCCCTACCAGCAAATGATCCTTTTTAAAACCTTTAGAAAGAGAGATCTTGAATGTCAAGGTGTTACAAAAGATAAAAAATGCTTTCCACACGTTCACAGCCTGCTGACCAACTGGGCATTCAGGGCAAGTTTCCCTGAGCCAGTTTCATCGCTGGAAAGCTTGATAAATGCTCCACCACCAGCAGACTGGAGATTTCTTTACGGCTCATACTTTGAACTCGCTCAAGTACAGAATATCATTATCTGGTTTTGTTATGATTACTTTTCCCTAATTTTTCAATTATACATCTTTCAGGAGTTATGGAGCCTGTGGTTTTAGTAATGACTCTCTAATGCATGCATAAAATTGCATGGATTTGAGTCAGGCTTTTGCCAACCAGAGTTACCCCTGGGGCATTGATCTTCTCAGCTTCTCGACCCCAGTGGCCTTGGCTTAGTCAGCTATACAGTGAGGGGATTAAGGGATCTTTCCCATCCTTCCCAGTTTCAAAGGTCTACTCAAAATGGGGTGCAGTAATACGCAAGACCCGACACTCATCTGTAAAACATTTAGCAGAGACCTCAGGATTTTTGAAAAATTGAACAAAGCATTTCAGAAGTCATTTGATAGTTTTGGCATCAACCTCCTGATGAATCTTCATTATCTTTGGGAAGAAGCTTAACCAGCTATAAACTCACTTTAAAATTTATGATCACAACAAGCTGCTGGTGAAGTTAATGGTCAACCAGGAGAATTCTCTTCTTTTTGCAAAAATTTCTGACAACCTTCCACTGTCATCACTTATTCTTTAACAGAAAGATTTACATGGGTAATAGCTTTGTTTTATTAATTATTAACAAATAATACCGACATACCTTAAAGGTTTCATGCTAAACTTACAAAACTGAAGGGATCTTGGGATGGTTCTTTGTGCAATAAAGTATTCTTTGCCAAAAGTTTCATGACAGAGTTCACAAAAGCCTCCATGTACAGAGAACTCATCTGCTGGGTATTTAACTTTCAAGGCAGCTCTTCACTGTGAAGTGAAGCGCTTCAATATTGCATTTGCTCTAATGTCATATACTTGATAGAGTTACTGAAATTGTTTTAGGAAGCAGGTATAAATTATAAGCAAATGAACAAATATATGTGCTGGGCTTTTAATGTATGATTGATATCACAACAGCAACCTGAGTAATTAGATTTTGAAAGTAATTCGTGTGAAAGCAATCACAGGCAAAGTTGGGAATGTGCCATTCGATTATTTAATTTCTTTCTCTTGCCCTGACCATAAATCAAAACATTCTCAAAATTGTAGGCAGAGGAAAAGCTGAATTAAAAGATTACTGGAACATCCAGATTCTAGAGAGAAATAGATTATTTTTGTTGTTTGTTGTAAGATATCATTGTGTAGTAAGGGTTTTCTGAATTACAGCACTATTAATAGTGTTGTTAGGTAATGTTTATGGAAGAACATTAGAGCTTTGTTAGCAATTAGAAAACTTCTTAATGTGTCACACAGTGTCAGTTACTTCATGCTTCCTCATGGTAATCCCTGATTCAGAACAGGTTACCATGTGATTTTCTGTTTGCACCTGTCTCTTCTGCTCGACTAAACTCTCCCTGTAGGTTGTTGTTCAGCTGCTAAGTCATGTCCGACTCTTTGTGACCCCAAGGACTGCAGCACGCCAGGCTTCCCTGTCCTTCACCATCTCCCAGAGTTTGCTCAAACTCACGTCCATTGAGTCAGTGATGCCATCCAACCATCTCATCCTCTGTGCCCCCTTCTCCTCCCACCCTCAATCCTTCCCAGCATCAGGGTTTTTCCAATTTTAGTCAGCTCTTCACATCAGGTGGCCAAAGTACTGGAGCTTCAGCATCAGTCCTTCCAATAAATATTCACGATTAGTTTCCCTTAGGATCGGCTGATTTGATCTGCCTACAATCCAAGGGACTCTCAAAGTCTTCTCCAACACTATAGCTCAAAAGCATCAATTCTTCGGTACTCAGTCTTCTTTATGGTCCAGCTGTCCCATCTATACATGACTACTGGAAAAACCACAGCTTTGACTATACGAATCTTTTTTTTTTTTGACCATACGAATCTTTGTCTGAAAAATGATGTCTCTGCTTTTTAAGCCCCTGTCTTATTCATCTTTGGTTTATTTTAGGAGGTGTTTTGAAAAACTTTAAAAATTTATCTAAACAATTTTGCATGGCTGGGTGTTGGGGGCAGGATGTTAGATGACCCACAATCACAGGAATCCCACACAACAAAGAACTGCCCAGTGAACTGAACTTTCTCATATCTTCCCAGACACGTGACATATAAACTCAAAGTATTTTTTGTACAGTTTTCCTATGGGTTTCCAAGATTTACTTGGACTTCCAGGGTTCAACTACGGTATACATTAAGAGAAAACTGCACTCTCTGGTGTTTATAACTTTACCAAGAGTTTTTCACCATTTGGAAAATTCCATGGCCAACCACAAGGGCAGTCACAGTATTTGAAAGGATAATCAGCAACTGTCAGTCTGCATTTGTAGCAGCTGCTTTCCCAGTGACCCCAAGTCTACTTTAAAATATACTTATTTAGTTTTTACTCCTCATGTCGAATATAAAGAAGCAGTATTCATGTTATCCAGTTGACTACTGTCTCCCTTCCTATAAGTGTAAAGCAATTCATGATAAGTGGGTATGAACATCTGACCATTTTATTAAGCCTTCTATTTTAGCTATTCTGAACTTCTTATATTTTTATATTATTGATGTTCTGTTTCTAGGTAGATTTATATTATCTATGAATTTTACTTTAGGATTTGACATAAAAATGGAGCTTTGGGCCAAATAGCATTAAAGATCACAGGTCTAGTAGAACCCTGTAGAGCTGCCATATTTTACAGAAAGGAAATGGGACACTAGAGATGAAATGATGCCCTTAAGGTCATATGGTTGATTAAGAAGCAGCCTTTCATTGAGTAATGAATATATAGCTGTAGCACAAATAAAGAATATTCCAGATTCTAACACTCTGGAAGATTATATTCTATCGCACAATATAAAATACCAGGAGATAAAATAATTTGGTCTACCCTTTAATAACATTTCCTTTGGTCACCAATTATCCCTCCCTTATCCCAGCCAAAGTGTCTCTAGAAAGAAAATTTCTTTATGCTGGAATTTCTATTTTCCTGATGATTCCAATAGAGACTAGAACTATACTTTTTAGATTAAAAAAGTCCTCTGACTTTTGCGGGGCTGGATTGGACATGTCTTCTCTGGTCCTATTACTTTCCTCCTGGCCCCTACCATCCTGCCTGAAGATCGTTTGAATCTACGGACAATGTTGCAGGACAATCTTTTCCTTTCAACAACAACAATGGTAGCCGTGACTGTCCCAGCGGGTCCCCTGCCACCCTTTTCTTCTACGTCTTCCTAAGAAACTTTACTTAAGAATAACTGACCTGTGACCCCACGGAGTGCCTTTGAAGGTTCCTCGAGTATTGAGATCTTTTTCTCACGAGGGGGAAGGGCTGGTTTTTCACTGGCAGAATCAGTGGATGAGCTGTCCTTCTCACAGCCGTTGATGTGGCCATTTTGTATCTGGGGCGGTGGTGGCTGCATGGGCCCTGCCTCGGGTCTCTCTGCCTTGTCTTTAGCATCTTTGTTGCCTTGATGCTGCTTGGACTTGCTTCGTTTTCTCTTATTGTTCTAGGATGAGAAACAAATGAGAAATGAATATTATGCAGCTCACAAGCACCTTGAAATAGAATGTGAACCCGAGAAAGCAAAATAAGATACGCTATCCTTTTGTTTTTTTGTTTTCTGACTCTTCAAATAAAATGGGTGAAAACACTGATGTCTTTATTAACCACCCAAGTTACTATAAATATCTTCTTCCCCACAATGAGTTGTGTAAACTTTTACCTCATAAACATAGAAAACAAAAAGTTTCCTTTACAAGCAAAAAAACAGCAGGAAATGGCTTAAAATAGCTGACATATCATTTGAGCAAATTGAGGGCCTATGAACCTGAATGGTCATAGAGTAAAAAGTCTCATGGTTACTACCCTGGAGGAACTTGAATTCAGCTACTGTGCTATTGGAGGAGAGCTCTCATTCCTTACAGAGACCTTGGTGAGAGGGAGGGCAGGGAGGACTCTGAGGTTCTGCTCCTCTGGGGAGGAGGGAAACTTGAGGGGAGGGTGGGAACAGAAGAGGCCAGCACCTCCTTGCAAAATGAGGGGGTGGAGTCAAATCCCCAAAGTCCAGGTTGGGTCTTTGAAAAGGCACCCTCCTTGCTGCCACCCTGTCCAGGAAGTCCCAGAATCAAGCATTGTCAAACCAATGTGGGTCCACCTGAATTCTGTACCCCTGGAATACTTGGCTGCAAGCTCAATAGCACTATAAGACTTCTCTTACATTTAGCTCAGAATAACACAGCCATGCATTTTATTTCATTTTCTTTAGTAATTTAATTAATTAATTTATTGGCCACATCTTGCTGTATGTAGGATCTCAGTTCCCTGAAGAAGGATCGAACCTATGCCCCTTGCAGTGGAAGTGTGGAGTTTTCACCACTGAACCACCAGGAAAGTCCCTACCCCGAATTTTAGATAATTGAAATTTTCTAGACCTTGGTACAGGCCTCAGCCAATGAGAACAGACAAGGGACCTGTCAGGACAGACCCTGGCCTGCCTGCGGCATCGGTGTCCCACCAGCTAAACATCAGTCCGGCTTTGTTCTGCAACATGTTTGGAAAAGAAATAAGAAACAATTTTCTCTTGATTCCCCTCCCCATTCCCTTTCTTTTCCTTTGAAACCACAAGCATGTCTCTGTGTAAGAGCTCCTCCAGGGGAGAGAAGTGCAGTGACTGGGTGAAGGGAAGGCCCAGGGGCACATATTCCCGCAGGAGCCCTGAATCTGCTAGGCTGGGGAGACCATCTTCCCACTGAACCTCTAAGAAGAAGGCTTGGTAATGAGTTGGGCCTGCAGCTGCCATCTGCTCTGTTTTTCCACATCAGAGAAATTTAAAACCCAAGCCACACATCTAAATTTCTCCACGTAAGTATAAATACTGCCTTTCAATCACTTGCAAATCGTCTTCATTTCACACAGAAGTCTGGGAAGCTATGATTAAAGATAAGCAGACATTGTCAAAGATGGTGGCATACAAAGGTTGAACAAAAAACCTCGTAATTCTCCCTATTCTCCATGAAGCTAGGAGGAGAAGAAGGAGGAAAGGATCATTCCAGTAATTTCAGTAATCTTGGGAATTTATGGAAGCAATGCTGCTTTCATGTGTGTGTTTGTTAAAACCTAGTCCTCGGGCCAATGATCTTCCCGCAGGGGGACGAGTATACACTGGGATCCCCTTGGGGAAGTTACTTTGGAAAGAGGTGCAGGCTTTTTGTCAAAGTCAGGAAACAGATGACAGGCCTAGAACAAGAAGCTGCACCTCAGAGGAGCCAGTGAGCACCCATCAACGCTCACAAGACCAGGAAGGCCAGTGAGTGCACAGCACGTGTGCCCAGAGGTCAGGCTGCGACTACACAAGAAAGCAGTGACTTGAATGCGGCAGCTGAAAATCTCCGCACTGCTCACAAGGAGCAGTCAGTCTGCCAGGGTTCGAAAGAAAGGAAAACAGGCCCCTTACTTACAATGGCTTTAAGGCACGGCCTTTTTCTCTTCCTTTATTAAAAATCTAGCTTATTAGAACTCAGGAAGAATGTTTCTCGGGGCAGCCCTGGACCGATTCTCTCTGTTGGAAAAACATGTGAAAATATATTTAGAGCTTTTCAAGTATCCTTAAAAAGCTCCTTAAAGTTTCCCTTTGTGCTGTGGGATACGTTCAGGCAAGTTAACATCTAGAATCCTTTGAATTCTCTGCTTGGGCTTGCCTTAATACTCAGAAAGAAAAACTCTGGGACTTCTAAAGCACACCTGGTGGTTAAAAACACTTGAACAGAAAACAAGGGCATTAGTAGGGAGGGTGGCTTGTAATTTAAGAGAGTCATGAATCTGGAAGCTTCCTGGGTGTACATATTAACATATTTGAAAGAAACACAAAATTGGCACCCTTGTTAAAATGATAACAACCATGAAGGTTCTGATGGAAGATGTTACTAATTTACAATCCATATCAATCTTACCTTCTTTTTTCCTGTCATATTCCATTCTTTTAGAACTTGAATTGCACTGCCTAGACAAAGACAAAGAATCTTCAACATGTATTCACATAATAAAACACCACACAAAATTCATCTCTGTCTTTCCATCCTGGTAGCGATTTTTTTTTTCTGGCTTTTTCATTTGTTTTGATACATCCTACCTTAATAAAAATGCCAGTTTCATTTTTTATTTCCAGATTTTCATTTAATTCACTGCATGATCTTGGTTTTATCGAAATATTAAGCCCCACTACATGAAGCTTACTTTGTTTTATCATTATGTTGTCTTAGAGAAAATGAAATATATCTTGAGAATTTTCTGATAGCTTCATTGCCATAGGTAGAATTAAAATTGTTCTGTTTTATATATGAATCAAAATACCTATAATCTTCTGGCCAAACATGGGATTTTGAATATTATTAACCATGTGCATCCTAACTTTTTGTTTGGCTATTTCTGCTCATTTTCTGCCTTTACTCATTATGTTCACAACCTTCAGGGTAACAAGAAGGACAGATGATCTGATGTTAGTTTTGCTCATGTCACTGTGCATAAGGACACGATGCAGTCTTTGCAAGGTTCCACTTTGAAACAAAAGAAGCTCATTAAATAACAAGTTGAGTCCCAGGTTCTGCAATTCTCTTCACGTGCATATGGGGCATCGGGCAGATGCAGAGGAAAAGTCTAACTTGATTAAATTAGAAAATAGTTTAAAAGAAATGCTTAACCAACAGTCAGCTACAATAAGTATCTTCATATAGTCTAAGTTTCTTCACTCACTCCAAGGTGCTAGTCGTAAAGAACCCACCTGCTAATGTAGGAGACGTTAGAGACTTGGGTTCAATCCCTGGGTCAAGGAGATCTCCTGGAGGAGGGCATGGCAACCCACTCCAGTATTCTTGCTGGAGAATCCCCCAGACAGAGGAGCTTGGTGGGCTACAGTTTATAGCGTCACAAAGAGTCAGACACGACTGAAGCGACTTGGCGTGCACTCACTTGCTCACTCACTCCAAACTGCTGGGGGTAATTTCAACAAGTTATTGGTAATGAGTAGACCGGTTGTTCTTATTTAAGTAGGTATTTCTAAAGAGTAGCTCTTAAATGTATTCTTTCAACAATTTTAAGCATTCTCATACAATTTCATTATACTAATAGTTCTCTACAATGAGTGTGTTGGCTAAACAAAGATAAACTTCAGGCTAGTCTTTATAACAAATTTCAAATTAGTAGGGCCCCAATTATTGAGTCTACTGTCACTGTTAGATAAGCAGAAGGCCATATTGCTTTGACTAATGTTTAAAAAGACTAATTATTCCTATCCATTCAGAGTTTCCAATTCAATGCCCCTCGAAGCCTTTTTGTGTTACATGTACTTGAAATAGTAAGACTGCATTTAAAAGTAAGCTATAATTCAGACTTTTTATTAACTAGGCTGATCTTTTTCTAATTTGCCCAGAGAATGAATGTTTCCCAGTATTTTCCTTTCAAAGAACTTTAGGAAGTCACTTTCACTAGGTTACTTCCTAAGTCACACCCGTGGCTAAGAATTATTAGGGTAGTTCTTACTTATAGCTCAACTTCAGTATTCCAAATAAAATAAAATTAAAAAACGTTAAAAACTGCTCTTTTAAATTAGAGGAAGGAGGTGAGTTGTTTACCACTTTCAACTGTAATATTGAATTATTCCTCTAATCTTTATATTTGGACATAAATTCTATTTGCAATTTGGACCATGAACTTTTAGAGGGTAATTCTGAAGAACCTGTGTTTACAGACAATTTTGAAACTGTTATTATTAAACTTTAATTATACCAAAATTGCTTGGAGTTTTTTTTTAATATACATAATTGAATTTATCTATTTATTTTTGACTGCCCTCGGTCTTCATTGCCTCAGGGACTTTTCTCCAGTTGCAGCCAGTGGGGGCTCCTCCCCAGTTGCGGTGTGCAGGCTCCTCAATGCGGCGGCTTCCCTTTCTGCAGAGCGCGGGCTCCAGGGCTCGGGGACTTCAGTAGCTGCAACTCGTGGGCTCGGGCTCCGTAGCGCCCACTCCCCGGCTCTGGGGTGCAGGCTCAACAGTGGTGGCACAGTGGCGGAGTTGCTCCAGGGCACGTGGGTCTTCCTGGAGCAGGGATCGAATTCATGTCTCCTGCATTGGCAGGAAGATTCTTGACCAGTGAGCCACCAGGGAAGTCCTGTTGGGAGCTTTTTAAGCCACTCAGAACGTGTGCTTTAGTGTGCCTCAGAAGTGATTCCTAATGACTATTTTTGATTTTCAGTGGTCTTTAAACAAGTTTTCCTATTGACCCCCATCCAAAATGATATCTCAGCAATCGATGAGTTTTTTAAAATGAGACCTTAATCCTGACAAGGTGAAAATTTCAAGAAGAACAATTTAAATACAATCGGATTTGATGACAGTTCATCAGTTACTGAGCATCTGTGCATCTAATCAGGGTCACTTTGTAATAAAAACTTTCAGGATAGAGAATGTGGGGGCCTCACTCCAACTGAGGGTGGGGAGGCATGGGGATAGTAACCTGTTTCCTTTCCTAGAACTTTTTTCCACGTGAGTGATGCTGGCAAATGAAACCGAAAAGACAGTTTATCTGAGCCAGGCTGTACACCTCTCAATTTTTCATGTGAGACAAACTGTACCAAATGTTGCAAAGCTGGATTAGCATCCCAGTCTCTGTATTTCTTACAAATAAAGATTCCATATATGTTCATACATGAAGCAGGAAAAATAGTCAGAAAAGTTACGCACTGTGAGTTTCCTTGCAGGTCTATTACGAACCATGAGTGCTAAGTCACTTTAGTCGTGTCTGACTCTTTGCGACCCCGTGGACTGTAGCCCACCAGGCTCCCATGTCCGTGGGATTCTCTAAGCAAGAACACTGGAGTGAGTTGCCATGCCCTCTTTCAGGGGATCTTCCTGAACCAGGGATCAAACCCAGGTCTCTTGCATCTCCTGCCTTGGCAGGCAGGTTCTTTACCACTAGCGCCACCTGGGAAGTCCCATTTTGAATGATGTGTGTGAGTTAGTCGCTCAGTCGTGTCCGACTCTTTGCGACCCCATGGACTGTAGCCTACCAGGCTCCTCCGTTCACGGGATTTTCCAGGCAAGAGTACTGGAGTGGGTTGCCATTTCCTTCTCCAATTTTGAATGATAATCATTTTTAATTCACTTAGCACTCTAAACTCTGACTGCAGATATCAGAATGTGAGTGTGCTACCTGGTTCCAAGACCTTGCCTGAAATGCAATTATAATATATGTAGAAACTTAGGAAGATTATTCTATTTCCAGGAAATTAAGTAAGTTTTACAGAAAGTAAAACTAGTATAAAATGGAGGAATATACTGAAAGGTATTCCCTGAAGTTTCGGTCAGATTATGTTTAGTTAGTCCTTATTAACAAAACGGAAACTAATGCTAGGACAGAAGTTATATGATCTCAAAGAACAGGTATAAGATATTTGTTCATAAATTAAATTTGTTTAATTTGTCTAGGAGAGAAGAATTTCCCATAATTTATAGGAAATGTAAAACAGTAGGTTATACATTTATCAAATAACTACATTCCTGAGAATTTAGATTCTATAACATCACTGGAAATGGGCTGTCCAAAAAATCAAAATTTTTTTAGACAGCAAAAAACGTTCTAGAGGTGGATAAGATGAACTAATATTCTGACTAATTAGGAAATCTCAAAATGATAAACTAAGGATATTAAAGACCAAATCAGTCCTCTCAGACTATGTAAGCATCAAGTTCAAGGATTCCAATCCTAAGGCCAAGTAGAACTATGCTGGTTGAAGAGTTGAGAAGGCTTTTCAGATCAGGAGTGAAGTTCATTATCCTCTATGAACAAGGACATCATCAAATAAAGGACATTGTTTAATAGCAGATTGGACAGACTGGTCGACAGTGGAATTAGTAGCATTAGAATGGGTATCCTTTGCAAACCATCTACAGTCTGTCTTCTGTTTTTTCCCAATGAGGAAAAAAGAACTTCCAAATTCTGCTCTTAATACATAGATGTGTTTTTTTAAATGCTGTTTACCGTGGTAAAAATTCACATAATATAAAACATACTGTGAGCTTAGTCACTCAGTCATGTCCAACCCTTTGCCACCCTGTGGTCTCTAGCCCACCAGGCGCCTCTGTTCATGGTATTCTCCAGGCAGGAATACTGGAGTGGGTTGCCATGCCCTCCTCCAGGGGATCTTTCCAACCCAGAGATCGAACCCAGGTCTCCCACATTGCAGGTGGAGTCTTGACCAGTGGAGCCACCAGGGGAGCCCAAGAATCCTGGAGTGGGTAGCCTATCCCTTCTCCAGGGGATCATCCCAACCCAGGAATGGAATTGGGGTCTCCTGTACAGCAGGCGGATTCTTTACCAGTTGAGCTGCCGGGGAAGCCCCTGAAACACACTATCTTAACCATATTTAACTGTGTAGGTCAGGGGCATTAAGTACGTTCACACTGTTGTGCAACTCTCACCATCATCCATCTCCTGAGGTTTTTCCTTTCCTAAACCGAACCTCTGTCCCCATTAAATCTAAGTCCCCATCCCCCACCACCTCCAGGACCCTGGCAAGCACCAATGTATGTAGACGTGTTTTTAAAGCCTAGCATGTTTTTATGAAAAATAAAGTATTAGTAAATAATTGGTATTCAATGCATTCAAAGAAGAAAACACAGAATATATGGAATATTTAGTTCTAACATCTACAGGTTCACAGGACATGTATACTCACCATCCACAAAGGCCTGCACTGCTTTATCTACATTAAAATCAAACTGCTGTAGCACCAGGACTATTTCATTATTGCTTTTGTTGGGAACCACTGATCGAACTGCATAGATCTGGAAAGGAAAGAAAAAGAGAAAGGCAAACATTGTGAATGTTTTTCATCTGTGAATCTCTCACTGGATAGAAAAAGAAAAAACTGTTCGAAAGGCCTTGAGAAGCTGACTAATCTATCTTCTTGCCATCAAGCATACTCAAGGCATTTTGGACCCATAAAAGTTAATCCTGGTAATCACCTTGATACCCTCTTTATATAAATACACATTTTTACAAAGATTTCCCTGTTAGGACTGGAGTAGCAAGCATGAGAGCCAACTCTGGTTTTGCAATCTACCCCCCTCTCCCCACCCCACCCCCAGGACTCCAGATGCACACAACATGTGTTTTCAGAGAGCGCCCAGACAGTTCTCTGTCTCTCGCTCTCTTCCCCATGAGCTCAGGGCCTATCTTTGGAAAATTTACAGAAATAGCTTCATGCCTCAGCTTCTCTTATCTCCACAGTGGAGACAGTCACACTGCGGTTCACAAAAGTATGTTGTGAAACTCCATTAATGTTTATAGAGATATAAAAATGTGGGGCATTGTGTTTTTGAAATGGCAATCTTAGCCACAATACAGAAAAGTTTCCCCAACACACTTCTGAAAATCAAACATTTAAACCAGTGTAAATACATACATGAGAGCTAAGGATTTCAACAGGTTAAGCTAATATCCAATTTTTAATGACCTATAGATAGTTCTTAGTCAAATTTTGCACATTTTCTTCTTTCCTAATAGAATTCATTGACCTTTATCTCACAGAACTTGCAATTACTACAGGATACTTTATCCACCTTAGTAAAACCTGGCTCTCTATGCTTTCTATCAAGGGGATTACTGCAGCCACTACCAACAAATATGAGAATGCTATATGGTGCCAAGGTGAGTGGCATCCACAGTAATGATCACAAAAGCACTGCACAATCCTTACTTGTTTTCAGTGAATATTTTTTGAATGCCTACTGTGTGACAAGGCACCAAACTTCTTGCAATTTACTGACCAGAGGGGACATATCAGTATGCACATACTGATCAAATGACCACACAAATAAATATCTATATATATGTTGCAATAAATGCTATAAATCATGACAGGGAGACCTGTGTGTATATAGGTACGCTGAAATTTGAAGGACAAAAGAAAGGAGATGGCTAGGAGGTTAAGGGAGAGGGCATCTTAGAGGGGACAGCATGAATGAGGAGCCAGGCACAGATGAGGAGGGAGTATGGAGCGGGACAGAGGCTGAGGTGTCCAAAAGTACAAGATGAGGTCAGAGGCAGGCAGGGACCAGATCATGTAGCCCACAAGGTCATGTAAAAGATTTTGGTCTTGCGAGCGTCCCTCAACCACCCTTTTATGTTGTCCTTTCTTATTCATTCATCATGTTAGAAAGATATCTCTTGGGAACTCCCCAGCAGTCTAGTGGTTAAGACTCTGCACTTTCACTGCCAAGGGCAAGAGTTCCATCCTTGGTCAGGGAAATAAGACCCTACAAGCTTCACAGTGCGGCCAAAAACAAAACAAAACAAAAACATTACAAAAAAAAGAAAGATAGCTCTTTCCCTCTCCCCTCTCTCTCTGTATGTATGGTATTACCTTCTATATCCAACACTTATGTTGCTTCCATAGCAACATTGGTTGCTATTGGTGTGTATACACACACACATACATACACACACACACACACAATGGAATATTACTTAGCCATAAGAAAGAATGAAATTCTGCTATTTGCAGCAACATGGATGGACCCAGAGAATATCATGCTGAGTGAAGTAAATCAGACAGAGAAAGACATGGGCTTTCACACCGTACGCTATCACTTATATGTGCAATCTAAAAAATAAAATGAATGCATAGAGCAAAACAGAAACAGACTCAGAGAAAACAAAACACTGGTTACTGATAGACAGGAAGCAGGGAGGGGCAAGATTAGGGCATAAAATTAAGAAATAGAAATTACAATGCATAAAATACATAAGCCACAAAGATGTATTATACAGCACAGGGGATTATAGCCATTATCTTATGGTAACTTTTAATGGAGGATAAGCTATAAAAATGCTTAATAACTGTGCTGTATACCTGAAAACTAACATAATATTGTAAATCAACTATACTTTTCAATCTACCTCCACAGTTGTGAGATCAGTAAAGACCAAGAAGTATGGAATAAACATAAAGTAGTTGTTTGCCCTGTTTCTAGACTCTCCACTGCAAAACATTATTTTATTATGTTAAGGCAAAACATGATATAAACCATAGCTTATAGAGATACTTCCTCTTTAGACAGGTACACGGCTCTTGCCTGTTCCTCTTTAAAAGAAGAAAAAAAATCCAACATGGTAGAATATAGAAAACATCTATCCTTGCCACTTTATATATCCTAGCCCTGAACATATCCTCAGAAAACTGTCAATAACTGAGTTCTGATATCACATATAACTATGAAAATTGCAAATAATTCCCAGAGGAAGACTTAATTAAAACAAGAATGTCAAGTTGTAAAGAAAGGAAAAAAAAATCTATTCTTATATATTCCATAGTAATGTTGAATTCTAGTGAATTTCACGGCCAAGTTTCTTCTTTAATCACAGTACGTGGCTAATGTAAAGAGAGTAGCATTGTTTTTCCACCTTCTTATTTATAAATTCATTACATTTGTTTTGCTATGAAAATGTCTTGAATCCAGATACTCATATGCATGCATAAACATACAGAAACCTCACAGTGTCACTATTCAAGATGCATCTGTCATAAGGGGTCTAAGTATTTAAATCTATAAAAGGTCTTCTTATGAAGGAGCTTTAAAACATAAGGTGCAGATGACAAAGGCAGCGTTACAGGGAGGTTGTGCTGAAAAGCTGCCTTTGCGTTTGGAAGCTCCTGGAGCAATGGATCAATCAATGCGTGACTAATGGTAGTTTGCATACGGGGAGCTCATAAAATTATCGCCTGCAGTGGCTGTTTTGCAAAGGCTGTTTCTGGCACCGCTTCACACACACAGGCTTTACGTCAGCTGCCACAGCCTAAGCTGGTGAAGCCGCTGCTGCAGCTTCGCACTGAAGCCCACTGTTTGCATCTGCACGCGACTGCATCCCTCAAGGGTTCTCACACCATAAAACAGTCTCCTGGGGGGGTGACCAGGCGGCAGCACGGGATGCTGGGGGACAATCTGGACCGTGAGTTAGCGGTTCATTTAGCAACTGCTTTACCTTTCCCTAATCGCTGTTCCCCTGTTTTGCTCTTACTAATTTAAATGGCAAATTTAATTTGCTATTGACAAATCTGCCTTGTGCACCTCAATAGTTGTTCTGATTTTAAACGTTTTTGCACAGCAAAGGAAACCACCGATAAAACGAAAAGACAACCTAATGAATGGGAGAAAATATTGGCAATTGGTATGACCAATAAGGGGCTAATATTCATCATATAGAAACAGCTTACACAACTCAACATAAAAAAAAAAAAAACTGATTAAAAAATGGGTAGAAGAGTTGAACAGACATTTTTCCAAAGAGGAAATGTAGATGGATAACAGGTAAATGAAAAGATGTTTAACATCGTTCATCGCCAGAGAAATACAAATCAAAACCACAATGAGCTATTACCTCACACCTAGGAGAATGATAATCATCAAAAAGAATACAAACAACAAGTGTTGGTGAAGATGTGGGAAAAAAGGAACCCTGGTACACTGTTGGGAAAGTAAATTGGTGCAGTCACTGTGTAAAACAGTATGGAGGTTTCTCAAACAACCAAAAATAGATCTACCATATATGACCCAGCAATTCCACTCTTGGGTATACATCTGAAAAAAACAAAAACAGTAATTTGAAAAGATACATGCATCCCTAATGTTCATAACAGCATTCCTTACAACTGCCAAGATATGGACACAATGTAAGTGTTTATCAACAGATGAAGGGATCAAGAAGATGTGATGTATATATGTATAACAGAATACCACTCAGCCATAAAAAAGAATGCGATTTCTGCCATTTGTAGCAATAAGCATGGATTTGGAGGGTGCAATGACAAGTGAAGTAAGTCAGCCAGAGAAAGACAAACACTGTATGATATCACTATAAATGGAATCTAAGAAATACAACAAATACGTAACTGTAACAAAAAGGAAACAGACACAAATATAGAGAACCAACCAGTGGTTACCAGTGAGAAGAGGAAAGAGGGCAGGGGCAAAATAAGAGGAGGGGATTAAGAGGTACAAACTATTACATATAAAATAAGCTACAAGGATATACTGCACAACTGTACAACGCTGTACAATGCGGGGAATATAGCAAATATTTATAATAGTTCTAAATGGAATATAACCTTCAAAAATTGTGAATCACTATATTTTATACCTGTAACATATAACATTGTACATTAATTGTATCTCAATAAAAAATAAACATTTAAAAAAGTGTTTTAACTTAAGCATTCTAATCTCCCTTTCTCTCCTCTCCCTGGGGTTTTCTATCCAGGGTGGCAGGTTTTGCCCCATTCTGCCTCAGGCCTGTCCTGCTGGCATTTTCTTTTTGTTTATTTCTTTTTTAATTGAAGGATAATTACTTTACAGAATTTTGTGGTTTTCTGTCATACATCAACAAGAATCAGCTTTAGGTACACCCACGTCCCCCGCTCCTGGACCTCCCTCCCATCTCTCTCCCCATCACATCCCTCTAGATTGTCACAGGGCCCCTGTTTGAGTTCCCTGCTTCACACAGTAAAGTCCCACTGGCTATCCATTTTGCACATGGCACTGTAAGAGTCCTTGTTACTCTCTCCACACAGCTCACCCTCTCCCTCCTCCCCTCTCCCCGTGTCCAGGGGTCTGTTCTCTGTCTGGCATTTTGCCGGCACTAGGCAGCAAGGCAGTGTGACTTTCACAGACGCGGTTTACTTCAGCTTCCCACATTAACTCACCTCTCCTGGACCTGACTTGTCTGACTTAAGAGCTGTTAGCAGCTTTCTTCATTCACACTGTGCATTGTTTGAGCCTATCTGTGA